GGGCCTCACACTGGCAGGGCATATTAGAGCAGGCGCCCTGGGTACAGTCCTGCCACAGGCCGCCGTGTCCCATCGGGAAGCGGATCCAGTAGTTGGTGGCCGTGGAGAGCACCGTGAAGATGTTGGCCAAGAGGCCCAGCAGGGTGCCCCCGCACTGAAGGCTCCGCTTCACCCCCATGCCAGGGGGGGGCTGCTGCAGAGGCCACATACGCTAGATTGGACAACACCCCTCCCACCCCGAGGCCCCCTCCAGGGTCCCTGAGAGCCCCTCCCAGATGTCTCTCCATGTCCCAGCCTGGCTGCCCCGACACCCCTGCCTGGGACCACTGCTTCTGGGGACCTCGAGGTGTCCTCCTTCAGGTCCTCCCCCACCCCATGCTGCAACCCCTTCCCCCAGCACCCCTGGGTGGGACAGTGAGACCGTCCCCCCAGGAGTCACTGATCAGGAACCCCCCCCCCCCCTTCCAGACACCTCCATCACCCAGTGGGATGTCCCTTTGGCCTGTCCAGTGCGCTCCCCACACCACACCCCCACACCCGCACTTGTGTGACTCAGCCAGCTCCCAGGGCTTCCTGGAAGCAGGTGCAGAGGGGGTAGGGGAAGGGAGGCTGGGTCAGGCCCTCTGAGGCAGCAGGAGTTCCAGAACCCACTCTCCCAGTGGCCATTTAAAGAGATAACCACCCACCCATCCACACAGGCATCTCCCAGCAAAGGGGCAGCTCAAAGCTAGATGGTAGGTCTGTATGGAGCCTGGGGACCAGGACATGGTAGAACACGTCCTCCTCAACACTTCTCTTCCCTTGACCCATAAGCACTCCTGGTCCCCAGATCTGACTGTGCCTCCCAGGCCTCCACCCAGGCTCCTGCCCTTCCTGCTCCCTGCATCCTGTACCTTCTACCAGCTTCCGTGGCCACGATGCTCTGAGGCCATCCCAGACTCCGTCGCTAGCCCTGGTCTCTCTCCCGAACCTTGGCCTGGAACCCTCACCTGCTCCTGGCCATCTCCCCGCACTCAACACCTCCCACCTGAGCTCAGCTTCCTCCACCAAACCAGGAATGACCCCACCCTCTCACTCCTTGGCACTGTCCTTGCCCCCTTCTTGCTCTTCACCCCACAAAGCCCTTGGATCCCCAAGGCC